ACGTAAATATGAGGTGATTATCAAGGAGGAAACCGCCAGCATTTACAGGCAAAGATAGAGGTAAAGAGAAACACATTAATGCTTTATTCATTTATTCTGTTATATTATTAAAATGCAACTAGCGAGAAAACCTAAACAGAGAAGAAGAATTGATTGATAGATTGAGAGTAAGTCAAAGTTAAGAAACCGGGTGGTCAGAGTGTAAAAGCATGCATCATTCCCGATGATGCTTTAAGTCGAAACGTCGAAAATTGCTCAATATTCTGAGTTACTTTTTCTTTTCAATTTCTAATAAAACGCCTGTTTTACCGATAATAATCCAAACACAATGGATTTAAACTTTTACTGCGAGCTTTCGTCGATGTTATCAACGTGACCAAGTCATGATGACTTAGTCATGTTTAAAACATCGACGAAAACTTCGCAGTAATCCAAGCACATCCACTGTGCTTGGTTTATTATCGATAAAACAGTTTTACAGCTGCAATTAGCAAACCAAATGAAAATATTCGAATATGCAAAGATACCGATAACTGTTTATTTATTTATTTTATATGATTTGTATATCCAGAAAATTGCTCAAAGGCGCTTTTTCCCCCTGGTCCCTGGTCTAACAAAATGAATCAACGAAAGCTCTTCCAAAATTATTGCTAGGCTACAACAATAAAACTAACATAGCCTAATTACTTTACAACGCAGAGCGTAATACAACAAAACAACATAGGCCTATAATTTGAGTCACTAATCATTAAAAATTTCAGTTTCTGTGAATTCACCCACTATAAAACATCATGTTATAAGAATGCAACAACCGACTTGACTTTTGTGTATATCTTTAACATCTAAATTATCCACCATTATTTACAACCCCATTTGTAGATCAATGTAGATTATGGGAGACGTTTACAAATCAGATCCTCACTTGGCGTTGATATACCGTAACATATTATAACAGTAAAATATTATTACAAAATTTAAAATATGGAAATATATTCCCTCGAATATTATAGCTACAGGTGAATTTTAATGCAAATTTAGAGCTAACTAACTAGCTAGCTAAAGCAACTCATTTCAGTAGAGAACTTTTAAGATCAACTTTTTTTTATCAGTGGCGGATTTAGAGGTGGGCGTCCGCCTACTGGCACACTCCCCCTATTTTTGGTAAAAAATTTATAAAGCTGTATCAGGAAATAATGCATAAATTATAATACGTACATATTGACATACACAGTTGATGCATGCAATTACATACATTATATTCAAACATTTCAAATATCGCATTAAAATACAATATCTTGCAAATTCTGTTGCTGTGTTGTGACTCTGCAATTTAGCAAAATATATAATTAAAATAAATTCAGCAAAACCTCTGCAACATGTTACAATTTTTTAGATAGAATTGTCTGTTATTTAAATCAACCTGGCTTAGCAAATTGTTGTGGTCTTCCAGCTTGACATTAATTATCAGATTTTGAAAACCTACAGCAAACGACATCACCCCTATATCTTACAAGTAAATGTAATCTCGGCACAAATTGCCAAGGGGAGAGCATAATTAATTGGAAGCAAACTCAAGCCAAGGGGTATGTATAATCAGGGAAAATGTCAATGTTCCCTGGTATAATCTATCTCCTTAAAAAAAAACAATGTCAATAAACTTCAACGAGGCCAGTCTGCAAGACAAACCTGCTACAATCGCTACACTGTCGCTACACGCTACAGTGTTTTCAGTTTCTATAGAATCGCTACACAATCGCTACAGCGTTTTCACTGCAATCTTGCATTGCGTAGCTGTCCTCGACGCAATCAGGAACGCGCTGTGATTCAACTGACCAATCAGCGTCGCCAAATGAGTCTGCCATAGCGGGCTTAACAATAACAGTTACTGTGCAAAATCATAAACATTTGAATACAAAAATAATATATAATTTGTTTTCATTCATAGAATTTACCAAACGTTATTAATAATTTACAGAGCATAAAAATACATTACTGTATTAGAAACTTATTTAACAGAAAAACGTTGAAAAAAATCAAAACTAATATTACATTATTATAAAAGACAACATTAACGTTAAAATGTTTTTATTTAGAAATCGATATAGCTAGACAAGCCTATCCTCGCGATATGTTTAAATATTACAAGGTTTAGCTGTCCTTGGCATAACCTAAATATAAATATTGATATTGTCGTACGCATTATTATATTACAAGTAAACAAAGAACCCAATTACATTACTGATACTGCAAGAAGTCAGATAGTAAAATTAATTATGTTGACCTGATTCCAATTTGAGTCTTATTTGATTTGCTTATATTTCTATGCCGTATAATAATAATAATAATAATAATAATAATAATAATTTATTATTATTATTATTTGGCGAGATTTATGTGAGTAAAATACCATCAAGATTACAATAATATATTTTTTTTTAAAATATGGAACAAAGTACCTAACAGAATATTTAAAAGACTGAAGGCATATTGATATTATAAAGAAACGTTTAGAAATCAATTTCTCAGAACTGTGGATTGAGTTCACTGATTATATCTCTGATTTCAATTCAGTTGTTACAAAGTAGGTATACCGGTAAGATTTATTTTACAAGACAGTTAAGGTTGGTTTCCATACAATCGCTTCACAATCGGGTCAGCTAAATACACACTAAAACCTGTTTTCCACTAGGCGAATTTATTCGCGCGAATCGAAAGCGTCGGTTCATGTGCATGTGCATTCACATTCCTGTCGGAGTTTTTGCGAAGGGAAAAAATGTGCAACCAATCAGAGCTCTGGAAGTGAACCGACGCTTTGATTCGCGCGAATAAATTCGCCTAGTGGAAAACCAGCTTAAGGAGCTTTCTATTTGTGCGACGACACGACTTTAGAACGGAATAACTCATGCGTGACCGTCCTACCTGGCGTCCTACGTTATCTGCATACGTAGATTTGCGTTTCAGAATCTACTCGACGAGATGACCTTAACGTTCTCGCATGCGCAGATGAATTTTAGTGACTTCATTACGTTCTACGTCCTACCATCGTCGTGCAATCGATTCATCTGCAACGCAATCGGCAAATTTGAACCAGGTTCGACCTTCCTGACAGCTATCGGCAACTGTCGCCGATAGGTTTAGCGATTCTACGGAAAAGAGACTTAGGCCTAGTTCAGACTAGGCGGATAAACCCGGCTCAACTCACCGGGTTTATCCACCTGCCAGTTTGAACTAGTTGGCTTATCTCAAGCCGGGCTGTGTTAAGGCCTGGCGTGCCACCGTGTTTAACTTTTCTATGCCGGGCTTTAATCGTCTTGCATTGACTTCCGGGTAACAAAATAACAAATCAGCATTCAATTACGTACGCTGTGAGCGATCGCGAGCGTTTTTACTCTTTTAATTATTGTATCTACACTGTTGAAATTTATTGAATTAGTATACCATTAAGTTTATATGAACCTACTTTTATTTATTTATTTATTTATTTTTTTTTTGTCCTTCATTAATACTAAACTTATCTGTAATAAGATAATTTCGGTAATTTTCTCATTATATAAATTATATATCAGTTATTACATACTAAGTAAGAGCAATTTTTGAATTATGATAGGCCTATTTCTGTTATTTATTGTATTGTATTTAAATGCCTTTTATGTTTATATTTATTAATGGGGCAGCTGACTCTCAATGAGTTATAGTAAAATTTTGCTTAAGCTGCCCCTGACCATAATTTTTGTTGTACTGTACCTTTTGTAAATGTGTATTGGTCGAATAAATAAATGTAATGTAAATGTACGTACGTTTCGCGAGCAATGTTTTGAATCACGTCTACTGGTTACGGTTCATTATTATGCAAATTCCCGCCTGGCTAACCCGCTAGTCTGAACGCCCGGCAAAGTTAAGCCGGGCTTAACGTCAAGTCTGGCTTATCTCAAAGTCTGAACTAGGCCTTAGGAAACATAAGCATATACAAACACGTGCGTTCGTGGGATAACGCGTACGATTGTTAGACGCGAACCTATTCTTGGCCCTGTTCTGATTGGTCAGTTATTAAGGTTGATTGACACACTACAAAGTTTCATTGTGCTATAGGGTCAAGGTAGTAGAGACCAGTGACTAAGGTAAAGATGCATTTTGATCAAGGTAAAATCAATTACGTTTTACAGAGTCAGATGAGAACTATTGTCGTTGGCCCGACCCCGATGATTCATCCGGACCCTGGTGTTATTATGAAGATGAATCTGGAAACATAGAAAAAGAATTTTGCCATATTGAGCCATGTTCTGGTAGGATTTTACAATTGATATATCGTAATTGTAGGCTTTTATAGGATTACGATCATAGAGGGGAATTTGGGAAATGTTGGAAATGAAAGCGGTAGTTTTTAACTCAGGCGTATGATGATGATGATATATAGTAGTGATAAAGTTGATGATTATGATTACGATGATTGACATATACCACAAATTATTGATTAGGATTATAACAAAGGTACTACTTGATAAAGGGAACAATAAGATCTCTTGCTGCACCACTCTTCTTATCTACATATCTTATATATTTTAACATACTTCATC